TGCTCGTCTCGCTGCCTCTGCCAGAAGCAGGAGGAGGAGATGGGGCACAGCAGGAGGCGAAGAGGGATGGGCAGGGCAGTCATCGTCGTCGTCGGCAGAAGCAGGGCGTGAGGAGCAGAGGGCAGGAGGAGACAGCCAGAAGGGGCGGGGAGGGCGGACGAGCATCCTCGGGAGGCAGCTCGGGAGCAGGGCCGGGGTCCGGAGCGAGACATCTCCAGAAGAAGACGCAGCTGGGACGAGGACTTCATCGGGCGAGGGATACACCGAGAAGCTCTGAGATGCGGCGGCTCTGGACGATGTCTCGGGCGCCGCGGCCTTCTCAGATCGTTCCCGAACGCTCTGAGAGCTTTCCGGACCGCTCTGGAACGCGGATGTAGCCTCGTCCCAGCTCCGCCCAGCAGAATGCTCGGGGGCACCCTGGGCGGCCCCGGTCGCCCGCCCTATGCAGTCACACTTCTGCCGTATAGGACTGCTGGGCAAAGGAACGGAGGAGCGAAGAGAGCGGGGCCCCCGGGTCGAGAGCGGGGAGGGAGGGAGGGAGGGAGGGAGGGAGGGAGGGAGGGAGGCCTCTCCGGAGTGTTCGGGGTGCCTTGGGCGGCCCATCGTGCTGCCCTGAGGAGAGCCGGGCGAGGAGCGCAGGGGCCGTGGTGGCCACGGAGGGCGCCGGCCACGGAGGTCTAGAAGGAACGGCCCGACAAGCAGAGCGCCGGCGGAACCCGAGGTTGGCCCCTCGAGCAGGGGCCGGCCCTCCCGGCATCCCCGTGGGCCTACCACGGCATGCGCTGAGAGCACAGTGTCAGCCAGCGTGGACTGCAAGCAGCGTGATTCGGACAGTCTCCCCAGACATGATCGCGTCGTAAAAAATTCAGGACGAAAGTTTTTCGCTATTTTCGGCCTCCAGAGGCCCTCGCCAGGCCCTGGGACCGTCAAAAAACGACTCAGGATGAAAAACCGGCCCCAGGGAAAGGGTCTGGACTTCCGGGGACCCCGTCCTGGAAAAATCAGGACGTCGCATGTCTGGGTCTGCTGCGCATCCTGGGTGGAGCGAAGTACGTGGTGCAATCTGCGTGGTGCCATTCACTTGCCGAACTTGAGGTTGTCAACTCCACTGCTCGCGCAATCATCCCACCCACCCACCCGCAACTTGGTTTGCAAAACCAATGCGGGACCGAGCACAGATATCGCTCCGGGGTCGTCTTGGAGCCCTCGGGGGCGTCTCAAAAGCGCCCCAAGAAGGCCGGAGAAGCAAGACGGCCGACGACGACGACGACGACGACGACGACGACGACGACGACGGCGGCGACGACGACGACGCCGACGTCGACGACGACGAAGACGACGACGCCGACGCCGACGCCGACGACGAAGACGACGACGACGTCGCCAACGAAGACGACGACGAGGGAGGAGGGAGGACGACGACGGCGACAACGACGACAACGACGACAACGAGGGCGGAGGGAGGACGGCGACGACGCGAACGACGAAGAAGGATGAAGGACGGCGACGCAGACGACGACAACGACGAGGGAGGAGGGAAGACGACGACGAGACGACGACGACAACGACGACGACGACAGCGACGAAATAGGAGGGACGACGACGAGACGCCGACGACGGACGACGACGACGACGAGGGAGGAGGAGAAAGGACGACCACGGCGACAACGACGACGGAAACGACCACGACGCCAAAGAGGACGACGACGACGAACACGAGGAAAGACACAGGACGACGTAGGCGTCGACGACGACGACGACGCGGGAGGAGGGAGGACGGCGACGACGACGACGACGACGCCGCAAGAGCGCGCGCGCACGCTTTTGTTGAAAACCAGTGTTGCGAAACCTTGTGTTTTTGTAGGTTTTTTGGACGCGCGATTTTGAAATCCTTCCGAAACCGATGGGTTTTGAAGGATTTCGGCATACGCGCGCGACGACGCGCGCGTCTGCACTTCGTCCCATTTTTTGCAGAGGATTCTCGCGACGGCACACGCGCAAGGGCGTTCGACAGATTTCGACATGCGCGCGCGCGACGCCCGTTTGGTAGCATGTTGTGGAAATCTTGAAAAACCAATGGTCTTCTCAAGGTTTCGCACGCGCGTAAGCGTTTTTTAGCAAATCAGTGTTACGAAACCATGTGTTTTTGTATGTTTTTTGTTTTTGAAGGATTTCGGCATGCGCGCGCGACGACGCGCGCGTGCGCACTTCGTCCCATTTTGTTGCAAAGGATTCGCGGTAAAGTGTTATGTTAGAACAAAAAATGTCACCGCATAGTGTTTTCATTACAAAGGGGACCTAAGGGGGGGGTGAACCTGGCCCACCGGGGATGATGTAAATGCATATTGAGGATGGACATGCGGTCAATTTACATACCCGAAAGAGGGGGCGATAACGCCGGGGGGGGGGTAGAGTCTATTTAGACAGGAGAATCTAAGTGCTGCAATCTCTGTTGTGCGATCTAAGTTGCCCAATCTATGCTTTGTACTATTTGTGGGCAATAGATGTTGCACAATTAATCCCACCGGCCTTCTGGGCGTAGGTGGTCTAGAGAAACTCCTCTTCCAACCCCCTTCTTCCCCTTAGGGGAGGAACTCACCCTTTCCCCGACCCAGCCCTACCCACTCCCCTGGACGCTGGCGGGGCGCCCCGCGAGCGGTCAGAGCATCCAAGATGGCCCAAGACGGCTCCAAGAGGGCCCCAGAAAGCCCACGATGGCCTCCAAAATGGCACAATGCATCCCAAGATGCTTCAAGATGGTTTCCAAAATGCTCCAAGAGGTCCCAAGACCGTTCCAATGTGGTTCCAAGTGGCCACGGAGCGTCTTACGGAGGTTGTCAAGAGGCCCAAGCCCTTCAAGCACCCAAGGGAGATCAACGAATGTTACTTTATCGCCTTTTGGCGGTCGATGGCCTTCCGAGGCCTCAAGACAGCTCCAGGAGAGCTCCAGAGAGCCCCGAGAGAGGCCTGCGAGAGCCCCGAAACGGCCCCAAGAGCGTCCAATAGGGCCCCAAGAGCGCTGCGAGAGGGAACCAAGAGACGATTCGAGGCAAGCTAGAGGGGCAAGGCTAATTCAAACTCCTCCCTTCTTCAATCGATGTCCTCCAAGATGGTTCCATGAGCGCCCCCAAGACCGCCAAGAACGCCCTACGATGGCCTAAGGAGGCCTCCAAGAGGCCCCAAAAAGACCCCCAAGAGGCCCCAAGAAACCCCCGAGGTACGCAAGAGGCCCCTCGGACTGCCAAGAGGCCCCCAAGACGCCCCAAGAAGCCCCCAAGCTCGCTATTGTCCTCCTCCTCCTCCTCCTCCTCCTCCTCCTCCTCCTCCTTCCTTCCTCCTCCTCATCCTCCTCCTCCTCTTACTCCCTGTTACTCCTCCTCTTCAGCCGCCTCTCTCCTCCTCCCTCCTCCCCCTTCCCCAAATTCCTCCTCCTCCTCCTCCTCTTCCTCCTCCTCCTCCCTCCCCTCTCCTCCTCCTCCCGCCCTCCTCCTCCTCCTCCTCCTCCTCCTCTCTCTCTTTGTCCTCCTCCACTTTATCCTCCTCCTCGTCCTCCTCCTCGTCGTCGTCGTCCTCCTCCTCCTCCTCCTCCTCCTCCTCCTCCTCCTCCTCCAGCGGCGCGCGCGGGTCTCCCGCGCGGCTGGAGCACTGTCGTCGGGAGCTGGCGAGACCCCCCCAACCCAGGCGCCGCCCATCGCTCGGCGGCGAGCCGCCCCCGAGGAAGAAGGGGTGCGCCAGCCAGGGCCCATACCTCGCAGGCCCGGGGCCACATAGGCGAGCGCCACCATGCGGTTCCACTGCCAGGCGCCGCGGTCCCACCGCCAGGCTCCAGCTGCGAGGTCCCTGTAGCCGTTGCCGCCGCCCCGCCGGCTCCGCCGGCAGCCGCGCGGCGCCCGGCCGGCTCCGCCGGCAGCCGCCCCGCCGGCTCCGCCTGGAGGCCTCGCCCGGCAGCCGCGCGGCGCCCGCCCCCGGCCAGCGCGGTGGCCCCGCTCTCCCAGCCGCGCCGAGCGCGCGCGGCCAGGCACGCCCCGTCTGCCCAGCGCAGCCCAGCCCCAGTGCAGCCCGGCGCTGCAGGAGGGGGGGCCTCCAGCCCGCGAGCAGGGCCCTCCGTCGGCGCCGCGCCTCAGCGGCCAAGCATCAGCAGCCCTGGCGTGTCCTCAGCTGGCCCAGCGCGCTCACCGCCCTCCTCCTCCTCCTCCTCCTCCTCCTCCTCCTCCTCCTTCTCCTCCTCCTCCTGCTCCTCCTCCTCCTCCTCATCCTCTCGCCTCCTCTACTCTTACTCCTCCTCCTCCTCCCTCCTCCTCCTCCTCCTCCTCCTCCTCTCCTCCTCCCTCCTCCTCCGCCTCCTCCTCCCCCCGCTCTGCTCCTCCTCCTCTCCTCCTCCTCCTCCTCCTCCTCCTCCTCCTCCTTCCTGCCTCCTCCTCCTGCCCCCTCCTGGTGTTCTCCCCTCCTGCTCTTCCTACTCTATGACCCAGCTGCTCGTTCTTCCCCACCCCCCCTGGCCCTCCTCAAACTCCCGCTCCCACATCCCCCTCCGCCTCCCACTCCGCCCTCCCCGTCCTTCACCTGCCATCCCTCCCACAGAGAGGCGCACCGGTGGCTCTAAGGAAATCAATGCCGTCGTCCTTCTTTTGCCGTGAAGGGGAAGACAGGATAGAGGAGGCGAAACGTCCAACCACGAGCGCAACCGCCTCATACTACGGCGGATCTCACAATGCAGGAATAAGCTCACCATGTGATCTCAATATCAACAGGGTCAACTCACCAGGCACGAGTGAGCAGGCACAAGAGAAAGAGAGGAATCGGCACAAGTGCTGGTTACAGATTCAGATGCAAGGGGTAACAACTGCAGGCAGCGAACCGGCACGACTGCTGACTTGGACCCCGCACGAGGCTGCGACAGCCGGATGCAGAAGCCTGCTGCTTGCTGGGCCTGGCGGCGTGCCCCAACCAATGATGGCGCTGGCGTGCTGCGCGGGCGACAGCACAAGTCACGACAGGCTCTACGATCGCTGCCCCGCAAACTCGAACTGCGACTGGGCTCCGTTGGCCCGGGCGCCCGGGTCATGGCCGAGCCCCTTGAGCGCGGAGGCGCCCGGCCGGATGAGCACGCAGCCGAGGCCGATCAGGCCGACGCCGATCCACTGGACGACGCCCATGAGCTCCTGGTACCAGGACACCGAGAGGGTGAGCACGAGCACCAGCTCGAGCTGGCCGTAGATGTTCTGGGGCAGCGGCCCCAGGAACTTCAGGACGTAGCACATGAGTATGTTCAGGCCTGCGGGGGGGCTGTCTGCGCGAGGGGGGGAGCGAAGGGGGGGGCCTTCCGGGATGGATTAGCTTTCGACCACTCTTGCCTACCACGACTCTTCTTGGCAGTATCCGATTCCTTCCAAGAAGCCCCCCCACCATTTTTGAAAGCTGGCCCCCCTCCGCCGTCCCCCCCCCCCAGTGTGCGCCGCCAAGAGGGGGGGGGGTGGGGCGGAGGAGGAGAAAGAGGAGCGGAAGGGAGATACGAAGCCATCTCGGGCCTGCTGACAGGAACCCGCCCATGAGGAAGACAATCTTGGTCCAGAAGCCGACGCCCCAGAAGGCAGCAATTGGCTCCTGCATCGTCCCAGGGAAAGGAGGGGGCGGAAAATGGAATGGAGGCGGAGGAGGAGAAGGAGAAGGAGGAGGAGGAGGAGGAGGAGGCGGACGGAGGAGGAGGAGGAGGAGGAGGAGGAGGAGGAGGAGGAGGAGGTGGACGACGAGGATATAGAAGAGGGGAGTAGTAGGGCGAAGAATGGGAGGAGAGGGAGGAGGGGGGCACCACACGCACGTCTGAGCGCGGTGGGAATGGAAGATATGCCGGCGTAGACAATTGGAGGAGAGGAGATCGCGCAGCTCCGCGAAAGACAACAGCCAAGCGAAGCGCGCGAGGAGACCGCACGCGAGCCGCCGAGCGGCTAGTGCAAGCGTGGGCCACGGCACGGCAGGATTCGACGCACGAGGATGCGTTCTCGCGAATAGGGCATCCAGGTGCAGAGCAGAACTGAAGAGCTCAACCTCGATCTGTTACGAAGAGCTACATTCACAGATAGAGAGAGAGAGAGAAAGAGAAAGAGGGAGACATCGGATCATAGCTCATGCAAGAGCAGTGCTATGGTGACATCGCCGTCAGAGCAAGTCCTGCGGAGGGCAGGCCGAGGAGGGGGCAAGCCGAGGTCAGAGCCGTCGTCATCCGACTCTGGGGAAGTCCAACCTGCATCGCGCTCCTCGCTCGCACAGTGCGCACTCGATATCACACTTACAGAGGAGCCCCCAGGATTCGACGGTAATCGGGGGAATCGCTGGCGGCACGCTCGCGCACGATGCCACCAGCCGTTCGAGCGAATCCGACGCCGGGGGACGAGGAGGAGGAAGAGGCGAGGTCACGGCAAGAAGGCGTGCGCGATCGTTCCCCAGCCCAGTCCACCCCCCCGCTCACCGCCACCCCGGGATCCGGCGGACAGGCTCCGCCCCCCCTCCCGCGAAGCCGAGCCTGGGAGCGCAGCGCCCAGCAGGCAGGAGGAGGAGGAGGAGGAGGAGGAGGCCGAGGAGGAGAGCCTGCAGGCGACTAGGGCGGCCGTCGCTAGAATCGCGCCGCAGCTCAGCAGGATCGCCAGGATGGCCGCGTCGCGCGCCACTGCAGAGGGCCCGGCGTCCCGGACCCCAGGGGGGTGCCGACCTCCATGTCCACTCCAGCGGCAGTGCGACGATCCAACTCGTCGGCTCCAGCACCGTCGCCAGCGTCTCTGCGGACGGCGCCAGGCTGCCCCGCGGCAGCTCCGGGAAGGCACGCGGCGCTCGCAGCGGCCCGACGCCACAGAGCGCGCGCCAGCACGAGGGGACGAAGGTCCTCCACTGGCAGCGCCAGGCGGAGGCGGTCCGCCGGCATCTCCAGGTTGTGGCCATTCGGCAGCAGCGGCCCCAGAGCAACCACGAAGATCGGCACGAGGATCGGCACGATCGCGTAAGTCCGCAGCTCCACGAAAGGCGGCGGCAACACGAACGCCATCTTCATGGTGGGCGGCACGGCCGTCTCCTGCATCAGCTGCAGCGGCTCCGCAGTCGCCGGCAGCTGCGTCAGCGGCGCGATGGTCAGCCCGAGGAGAGTACACGGCAGCCTTGCTGCGAAGGGGCGCACGCGCGGCAGAGGCGGCGAGAGGCCATTCCGCAGCAAGCCCCGCGCCAGCAGCAGCGGGCAGGCACGTCAGGGTCTCCATCACGGGCGCGGGCTTGAGGATGGCTAGCAGGTGCGCGGCGCTCGCCTGGGCGTGGCGCACCGCCACCCGGCGCGCCCGGGCTCGCCTCGAGGCCGACGAGGTCGTACAGGGAGGGCGACACACATCGGCATCCATGGCACGGTGGCCCGCACGACGGCGGGCACACGGCTGGGGACAGGTCTGAAACAGGCGGCCGCAACGGAACGCTCGGTCCCATGGACCTGACGCCTAGGAGGAAGAGGGGGAGAAGGAGGAGGAGGAGGAGGAGGAGGAGGAGAAGGAGGAAAAGGACCAGGAGGAGGAGGAGGAGGAGGAGATAGAAGAGGGGAGGAGTAGTGGGAGGAACAGGAGGACATAGATGAGGAGGAAGAGGAGGAGGAGGAGGAGGAGGAGGAGGAGGAACATATTGATGGGGGAGCGGGCGGAGGAAGAGGAGGAGGAAGAGGAGGAGGAGGAGAATGTAGCCGTCGTTGATCGATCGACTGGCCCCCGAACACACAACGATCGGCAACTCGTGGGATGATCACCAAGCCCGCCATGGGTGCGAGTTGTGCCTATATCGACCCTCAAGGATGAGGCGATGGTGGTAGGAGAGCCAGAGACTGTGGGGCGTTTTGAAGGAATTACGGGCTACTGGAGTCCAGCCGTCATCCGACACATGGACCACATCCTTTCAGTGATTCAACGAGGTGGCTGAAACCTGCACGCCCAAAGCAGTGGAGGCGCATCGCAACAGATAAAATTCAGCGGCCGTGGCAGAGCGAGTCTTTTGGGGAGGAGGGAAGAGAAGGACAAGGAAAATTAGGAGGGATGATGACTGAAGGAAACTGGTCGGGAGACACAGGGAGTGTGAAGAGAGGGATGGGGGCAGGAGACAGGAAGTCCAGAAACAGATACCATGCCCACGCGACGTGGAGTAGGACGACGAGGCGGGAGGGCAGGATGAAGAGGAGGAGAAGGAGGAGGAGGAGGAGGGGGAGGAGGAGGAGTTGGAGGAGTTAGAGGAGGACGAGAAGGAGGAGAAGGAGGAGGAGGAGGAGGAGCGACGAGGGGGCGAGGGTAGGATGAAGAGGAGGAGGAGGAGGAGGACGAGGAGGAGGAGGAGGAGGAGGGGGAGGAGGAGGAGGCGGAGGAGGAGGAGGAGGAGGTTGCGGAGGCGGAGAAGGAGGAGTAGGAGGAGGAGGAGGAGGAGGAGGAGGAGGAGGAGGTGCCGGAGAAGAAGCATCAACAGCAGGAGGGGAGGGGGACGAAGAGGGCCGCCAAATGCGGTCACCTGCTCCCACGACTACGGCGCTGGACGTGGCCCGCTGCTCGCCGTGATGCCGACGGCGGACCTCCTCCCCTGAGCCGTCTGTGGCATCTTGGCGTTGACCGCCCTGCACGATGATTGGGGCCCTCGCCGTCTCCCCTCAGAGGCTCGGGGCGGTTACGCCCGGGGACTCGGACGTGGACAGCGCCTCGCGCCGCAGTGTGGTGGGCCAGAGCCGGGGGCGCCGGCACGCTAGCCGAAAGTCCCCGACCGTGGCTGCTCACCCGTGTGCCACCCGGCGCCTGCCCCACGGCGGGGGCGCGCGGAGGGAAGCGCCCCCCCCCCCTCTCCCCCTTCGGGAGGCGGCTCCGGCCCGTGCCCGGCCCACAAGCCGCCTATTCGGCGCGCCCGCCAGCACATCCAGGACGCCCCCCCCCCCCTGCTCTCGGCCGCCCCGCCGGACCTCCGCACGCGGTGCTTTGTCCCCGCGCTCTGGGCTGCCTCCCCCCGCCCTGCGGCTTTTTGAGCTCAACGCCCGCACAGCCTAGGTGAAAAAAGGCACAGCAGCGGCGGCCGGGAAACCACTGCTGGCCCCCGCCCTGCGGGGCGCAACGCCGCTTGGCCGTGCCGGCACGGGAGCGAACCGGTCCTGAGGGGCCCTGCAGCCTTCCCCCAGGACCCTGGTCGGACTCGGGCGACTGGGCCCTTTGCAAAGGGGGTGTCAAACATGTGCGCCATAGTTGGTGCAATCGTTCGTGCGGGGTGCGGACGACGTACAACATCAGCACCTGGCTGCCACGCGCCATGTGCCACAGGATGAACTGCTGCATTACAATAGGGGCCCGACCACAAAAACCTTCCACAAAAAACTGAGACCCCAGGGCGTCCACTGATGCTTGGTGTGGGCACGTCACGAATTCCATTGCAAAAAAAATCGAAACCCATGAAACCCAGGGCACCCTGGAGGCAAGCAAGGTGTTCCTTGGCATGGGCCTCCACTGTACCAAAGACCCCACTTGCCCGGAACCAGCCTGGGGCCTTCCCCCAGAGCCGCTCCTTCACACCGTGGGCCGTCCTTCGCGGCCCTGGGGCCCCCAGGGAGGGCCCCGAGAGCCCGAAAACGCTAAACATCCTCAGGGAGGAGGACAAAAGGAGAAAGGAGAAAGGAGAAAGGAGGAGGAGGAGGAGGAGGAGGAGGAGGAGGAGGAGGGAGGAGGAGGGAGGAGGAGGAGGAGGAGGAGGAGGAGAAGAAGGAGAAGGAGGAGGAGGAGGAGGGAGGAGGACGAGAAAGGAGGAGGAGGAGGAGGAGGAGGAGGAGGAGGAGGAGAAAGGACCAGTGTAACCCCAAGAATCATCAACGATGTTGGAGTAAACCCTCCCTCCGAGCTCCCTCTAAATAGGCACCTACAACGGTTTATTTCCACTGAAGGAACTGCCTCGTTGGAAGACAACCGTTTAAAGACCCTGAAGCATGCCAAAGGATTGTTTTCGGGATTCCTACGCCACGGGTCAACCTGACTGTTGCGTCTTGACGATCCTGAATCGTGCCAGGGCACCATTCCTGGGACTTCAACGCCGCGAGTCAACGTAACTGTTGCACCCTCAAGGGCCTGAATCCTTCCAACACGCCATTTGTTGCACGCTGATCATGGAATCCGTGAAGCTCTTGTAACTTAAAACCAAATGTGCGCGGCGCTAAAGCCAGAGACACATGTTGAAAACGACCTGCCCTCCATCCGTCAAATTCTTGCAAATTTATACAGCGAGTGTGCGCGGCGCTGAAGCGACAACTACATTTTGAAAACCACCCGCCCTCCATCCGTGAAGCTCTTGCAATTAAAAAAACTGCGCAGCGCTAAGGCGAGACAACATTTGAAAACCACCCGCCCTCCATCCGCGAAGCTCTTCCGAATGTTTGAACCGAATGGGCGCGGCGCTAAAGCGAGAACCACATGTCAAAACCATCCGCCCTCCATCCGTGAACCTCTTGCAATGTTTAGCCAAAATGTGCGCGGCGCTTAGGCGAGAACCGCATTTTTTAAAACCACCCGCCCTCCATCCGTGAAGCTCTTGCATTTTTTAACGGATGTGCGCGGCGCTAAAGCGAGAGCCACATTTTGAAAACCACCCGCCCTCCATCTGTGAAGCTGTTGGCACTCGGTCGTAAATGGTGAAGTCTCAGGCGAAACGCCTGGCCCGCCCTAAAAACTGGCCTCGGGGTGCGACAGGGAGAAATTATCTCTGAGGAAGACGAACGGAGGAGGAGGAGGAGGGAGGAAGGAGGAGGAGGAGGAAGGAGGATCCCCTCCCCTCAGAGGGCCCGTCCGCCTCATGGCGAGCCAGTGATCCGTCTTGCTCCGGCAGGCCTGCCGACGACGACGACGACGACGACGACGACGACGACGACGACGACGACGACGACGACGACGACGACCACGACGACGACGACGACGACGACGACGACGCCGTCGTGCCCCTCGCGCTCCGAGCCTCGGGGAGTGCGCCCTCCGCCGTGTCGGGGCCCCGGCCCCGGCCTCGGCCCCTCCGGCTCCGCCGCTGGCCCACGGGCCCCCTCGGCGCTGCCGCGGGCGGCTCGTCGGCGCCGCTGGCCCGCGGGCCCCTCGCCGCTCCCACGGGCCCTTCGCCGAGGGCTCGTTGGCGCCGTTGGCCCGCGGGCCCTCGCCGCTCCCACGGGCCCTTCGCCGAGGGCCCAAAGAGCCCTTCGCCGAGGGCCCTCGCCGCTCCCACGGGCCCACGGGCCCTCGCCGCTCCCACGGGCCCTTCGCCGAGGGCCCGTTGGCGCCGCTGGCCCCAAGAGCCCTCTGGTTTTGTCGGTGCTCGCCCTCGCCCTCGGCGCCGGCGGGGGGGCGGGGGCATCGATGGCGCCAGGAGTCGCAGCAGCTCCGCCACATGCGCGCCAGGAGGAGGAGGAGGAGGAGGAGGAGAAGGAGGAGGAGGAGGAGGAGGAGGAGGAGGAGGAGGAGGAGGAGGAGGAGGAAGAGGACGATGCAGCAGGGAGTCGTGGAGGCCGGGGGAGGCTGGGAGCGAGGGAGGTCGACGATCCATCGGTCGACCCGGAAATCCGACTGATCGGCAGGTGGTTCCTGCTGGCCCTCCTTGATGAGCGTCACGGGGACCATGATGACGAAGCACCAGATGGCCGTCCACCTCAGAAGCCACCCCGTCCCTTCTCCCCTTCAACCTCCGTCCGCTCATCGTAGTCATCATCATCATTATCACCTTCCCTCCTCCTTCTCAACCTCCTTCGGCTCCTCCTGATCCTTTTCCTCCTCCTCATCCTCCTCATCATCATACTCAACAGCGGCATCATTATGAGCGGCATCCTCATGCGCTTTTCATAAGAATCCCATACCATAAGCTTAATCGCGCGAGCAACTAGCAATCGGGAGGTGAAAAAACACCTCCTCCTCCACCTCCTCCTCCTGCTCCTCGTCAGTTTCCCCTGCCGCCTCCTCCTCCTCCTCCTCCTCCTCCTCCTCCTCCTCCTCCTCCTCCTCCTCCTCCACTAGCGGTGACATCTCGGAGTGCGGGACGCAGAGCGGCAACATGCAGCTGTACAACGTGTGCAGGAGGAACACCAGCAGGGACACGGACAAGAACGGGGGCATCTTCGTGGCCTTCAACTAGGCAGGAGAGAACAGGACGATCGCCCTGAAGTGCGCGGAGGAGTGCGACATCGGGCTGCAAGAGTACATGCCCATGGACATGGAGGACGGGGAAGCGTTGAAAACAGCCAAGCAAGCGCTGGAAGAGAGGGAAAAGGAGCTGCAAGAACACGGCGACTACAAGACGTGCAAGAACATGGGTGCGCAGCAGGCCCAGTACCTAAAGGCGCTCGACTGCGTGAACAAGTGGAGCGACAACATGCAGCTGTACAACGTGTGCAAGGGGGACACAGGCTGGAATACGGACAAGAACTGCGCCTGCTTGTGCGGGCTAGCCTTCCCCAACAAGCTGTGGTGAAGAGGAACCAGTGCTTCCTCACGGGGCGACCAGGGGAAGTTCTGGCGCAAAATGGACTGGCAGGCGCTGGTGACTGCACAGGCATGAAAGAATGGGCGGACATGATGAAGAAAGACTTCAACGAGGATTACGAGAAGCGGCCCGAGATCGATTGCAAGTCGCGGATCCACCCGCTGAGCCCAGAGGAACTGTACGAATTGATCCCACCTGTCTGCCCGGTGACGCACCAAGTCAAGGGCTGTGTACTAACTGCAAAGTACCCAGTGGACGTGTGGTTAGCAGCAGGGAGGAGATACTTCTGGACGCGAAGCTGGAGCGAGCTTGCGAAGCGGATCGCGAAGAACGACCTGGAGAACCTGCGCAGCGTCATGGAGGTAGCCACGAGGGAGCTGAAGACCGCCGATGAGCTCGAGCAGAAGGAGGTCGAGAGGCCCAAGAAACGTCAGGAGCTCCGCGAGAGCATGGGCGCCCCGCAGGACGGCACCGAGATGTTCGAGATGCGCACCGAGCCAGGTGAAGCGGCTGGCTCCAGCGGCCGCGCGCGAGGGCGCCCACTTGCGCAGCCAGGAGGAGCACTAGCGAGAGGGCATCTCGGAGTGCGACCCCAGGCAGGCAGGACGGCGCCGCCCCGGCCGCGACAGGCGAGCTCAGAGGGACCGCCACCAGCGAGGGCATCTCGGCGCGAGGGCCCTTTGGGAGCTTGCGCCGGTTGCACCGATAAGCGTCTTTGTCTTTTCCTGGAGCACCGACAGGTACAGCGCCACTGGGACGACGAATGGGATGCGAGGGCCCCACTGAAACCACTAGAGCGTTACCAAGGCCCCAGCCCCAGAGTATTACGACGTATCCTTGGGGGCCACTGGACACGACGCGGGATTTCAGAGAGGAGACAAGACCCCGTCGATTACCATCAGCTCCCACAGCCCAGCTGGCTCAACCACAGCCCAGGTGCGTGCTGGCACTAGCGGGGGGGTCTCGGAGTGCGGGGCGCAGAGGGCTGCCCGTTGACCAGCAGCGACAAGCGTTGGCCATGCGGCCGACGCGGCGAGGGGCGCGGGTGCTGCGGGGTGATGGGGAGCCACGGGGAGCGCGCCAAGAACGAGCCAGGACGTGAACGAGAGCAAGGAGCAAAAGGAAGCATGTGGAAGAGGGCGCGCATCAACTGCGAATTGGCCCTCTGGAGTGGACCGAGTGGAGCGACGAGGAGAAGTTTCGCCATGGTGGAGAGAAGTACATCGCACAAGAACAAGTGTGCCGTGATCAGACGCAGCGAGCAAAAGGCCCAGCGCGGACGGCCCAAATCCTCGGGGCAAATCCAGGCAGCGAAGGCGAACGTAGCCGCGGAGGAGGGACCAAAGAAGAAGTCACACGACCAGAGGAACAAGAAGGTCACTGAGCGGTCCAAGGAGGTGTCGAAGGCCCTGGTGAATGGCATCGAGAAGAACGGGGGGCATCTTCGCAGCCATCAGCAAGGCCGGCGAGAACAGGACGATCGCCCTGAAGTGTGCGGAGGAGTGCGACATCAGGCTGCGAGAGTACATGCCCATGGGCATGGAGGACGGGGAAGCGTTGAAAACAGCCAAGCAAGCGCTGGAAGAGAAAGAAAAGGAGCTGCAAGAACACGGCGACTACAAGACGTGCAAGAACATGGGTGCGCAGCAGGCCCTGTACTTGAAGGCGCTCGGCTTCGTGGACAAGTGGTGCGACAACATGCAGCTGTACAACGTGTGCAGGGGGAACTCAGGCTGGAATACGGACAAGAACTGCGACTGCTCGTGCGGGCTAGCCTTCCCCAACCAGCTGTGATGGAGAGGCCCCACTGCTGCTTGCGTGGCGGCCAGTGGAAGTTCTAGTGCAAAGTGGACTGGAAGGCGCTTGTGAATGCACAAGAACTTCCCCGAGGACAAACTCATGAAATAATGGGTGGACAAGATGAAAACAAAATACTTCAGCGGAGACTGCGAGACGTGGCCCGGGATCAGCTGCGAGTCGCGGTTCCACTGCACAGCAAGCGGCCATCGACGGTGGTGGAGCTTGTCGTCGGTGGCACGTGGGGCGCTTGCTGCTGACAGGCTGCCGCAAGCGACGGACGACGCCATTTAGAGAGCACCACCACAAGTTCTTCGACGCAGCCCAGAAGCTGAGCCCAGAGGATCTGTACGAGTTGATCCCACCTGCCTTCCTGGCGACGCACCAAGCCAAGGGCTGCGTAGTGACTGCAAAGTACCCAGTGGGCGCGTGGCAAGCAGCAGGGAAGAAATACTTCTCGACGCGAAACTGGTGCGAGCTATCGATGCGGATCGCGAAAAACGACCTGGAGAACCTGCGCAGCGTCATGGAGGTAGCCACGAGGGAGCTGGAGACCGCCGAGGAGCTCGAGCAAAAGGAGGTCGAGAGGCCCAAGAGACGTCAGGAGCTCCGCGAGAACACGGGCGCCCCGCTGGACGGCACCGAGACGTTCGAGATGCGCGCCGAGTCAGGTGAAGCGGCTGGCTCCAGCGGCCGCGCGCGAGGGCGCCCACATGCGCAGCCAGGAGGAGCACTAGCGAGAGGGCATCTCGAAGTGCGACCCCAGGCAGGCAGGACGGCGCCGCCCCGACCGCGACAGGCGAGCTCAGAGGGACCGCCACCAACGAGGGCATCTCGGCGCGAGGACCCGTTGGAGAGGAGCTTGCATAGATAAGCGTCTCTGTCAGTTTTCTGGAGCACCGACAGGTGCACCACCACTGGGACGACGAGTGGAAGACGATTGCCTCACAGAGATACTAGAGTGTTACCCTGAAGGGCCCCTCCTCCTGCGAAACGACAATGGTACGAGACCAGCATCACATATTTGGAAGCCTCTCATACGCCGTGACAATAATGGTATTGCTCGCCCCTGCATACACGCCGACTGGAGGGGATGCCTCAGAGGTGCAATTTGAGTACTACAGAGAATTTGGATACAGAGTACTGCAGCACAGGATTGTGTCGGAAACTACATTGCATGGTTCGACCATCGACCAGCACGTCCAGGAAGCGAAGTTCACCTAGAGAGGGAGGGGCTGTGTTCGGAGCGTGGGCACAGCAGGAAGTAGGTAGAATATGAATTCGGCACCCCAGCAGAAGATTGGCGCGAAGGTGCCTCCTGCATTCTCTCCTCTCTCCCCTGCGTCGTTGAGTGAAGCCGTGTCGTCTTTCTCCCCCCTGCTTGGGAGCCCTGCTCGTCCAGCGCGTCCCCCTCGGGATGGGCACGCGAGAGGGGTAGCAGCCGCTCCCCTGGCACTGACCCGTAGGGACTCGTACTCACAAGGTAGCGAGCCTCTCTTTCGGGGCCACCGCGGAGCTCGTCCCTTGGATCGCCGGGGTGTGCCCCCTGCTGTCCACATGAGAAGTCTGGGTCTGCGGCGTACTTATCTCGCAGGGGATTTTGCAAGTCGTGCCCCACAGCTCCTTTGTAGGCGTTTCGACGTGGACCCCCTTATTCGGATGTGCTGTCCTGTCCTGTCCTCCTCATCGTCACCACCAGCAACAGCATAAACATCATCATCAGCATTATTATTCTTAGCACCAGCACCATCATCACCATCATCAGCAGCATCATCACCATCACCAGCATATTCATACTCATAATCAACATCAGCATCAGCATCAACATGATCATACTTATCATCAGCATCACCATCACCATCCTCATCCTCCTCCTCATCATCATGAGCCAGCCTGATCCTAAGATACTCATCCGCCTCGTCTTGCTCCTCCTCCTCCCCTCCTCCTCCTCCTCCTCCTCCTCCTTCTCCCCCTCCTATTGTTTCTCCTCCTCTTCCTCCTTGTCCTTCTCCTCCTCCTCCTCCTCCACCTCGTTTCCCTCCTCCTCCTTCTCGTCCGCTTCCTCCCCCCCTTGTTTCGCACACACGTGTAGCCGAGCCTGTTCCGTCTTTCATACTCCTCCTCCTCCCCTACCCCAAGCCGATCCACTGATTCTCCTCCCCTCCTCTTCCTCCTCCTCGTCCTCGTCCTCCGCTTCCTCCCCCTCCGCCTCCGTGCAATTGTCGGGCCCCGACTCGGGCCTCAGGCGGCCGCTCGGAACGATCCTGGCATCACCAAAACGCTCTCGACGAGGCGCAGCTGCCAGACACCAGCTCGTGTCCTGAAAACATGTTCGAGACCTATCCGAACAACGATGAAAGACGTCGAACCTCCTCCTCCTCCTCCTTCCCTCCTCCTTCCCTTTTCCTTATACAGAACTCCTCCCCGTCGCATCCTGCACCCTGACACGTGTTGGTAATTAGGGCGGGCCGAGCGTTTCGCCTGAGACTTCTGAACAACTTATGTCCCTTAAGCGTCACACTCGCGACAACTTCAGGGATGGAGGGCGGGTCGTCTTCAAAATGTGGCCACCGCCGCATCGCCTCGCACAGTCGTCGTTAAAGTGCGCAAGAGTTTCAACGGATGGAGGGCGATTCCTTTTGAAAATGTGGCTCTCGCCTGAGCGCCGCGCACACTCGCCTTAGCATATTGAAAACTGTTGCACGGATGGACGGCACGCCGTTTTCGAAGTGTGGTTCAAGCCTGAGTGCCGCGCAAATTCGTCTTCAAAGTTCGCAAGCATTTCACGGATGGAGGGCAGCTCCTTTTCAGAATGTGACTCTCGTCTTGGCGCCGCGCGCGCTCGTCTTTAGCATACATACCAGTTTCAAGGATTCTTGACGCTGACGTCCCATACATGGTGTTGTGGCACGACGTGAAACTGCCAGGGCGCAAGATTCAAGTTCATACGCGGTGTTGAAGTTCCAGGAATGGCTCTCTGGCACGATTCAAAATCGCCAGGACGCAGCAGTAACGTTGATTCGCGGCGTTGAAGTCCCAGGAATTGTGTTTCGTGCGGTTCAGGATTTTCAAACGGTTGTCTTCCAACGGGGCACCTCCCCCAGTGAAAACAAACACTTGTAGGGACCTATGAAAAGGGAATTTAGAGAGAGAGGGTAGATTGCAACATCGTTGATGAGTCTTGGGTTTACTTGTTTACACTGGTCCTCCTCGTCCTCCTCCTCCTCAACCTCCTCCTCCTCCTTCTTCTCCTCCTCCTTCTGCTCCTCCTCCTCCTCCTCCTCCCCTATCAATCGAGAAAGGGGTCAAGCCGGCTCTCCGCCCCTGGCTGGCCGATCTCCGGGGTGGCCGGGCCTGCACTCCAGAATGTCGGGGCGCTCCGTCGACCAGGCGGGGGGGGGCGGAGAAAGAGGGGGGACCGAGGGACTGAGGGGCAGGAGGAGCAGAGCTATTGGATTGGGGGAGGAGGAGGAAGCGGAGGAGGAGGAGGAGGAGGAGGAGGAGGAGGTGGAGGAGGAGGAGGGGAGGAGAGGAGGGAGGGGGGGGGAGGGGAGGAGGGGAAGAGGAGGAGGAGGGAGGAGGAGGAGGAGGAGGAGGAGGAGGAGGAGGAGGAGGGGAGGAGGAGGAGGGGGAGGGGGAGGGGGAGGAGGGGAAGGAGGAGGAGGAGGAGGAGGAGGAGTAGGAGGAGGGGGGGGGAGAGGATGGAGGGAGAGAGGGAGGGAGCGCGGGGGGGGAGAGAAAGGAGGGAGAGGGTGGAGGAAGGGAGGGAAGACGAGGAGGAGGAGGAGGAGGAGGAGGAGGAGGAGGAGGAGAGGAGGATGAGGATGAGGATGAGGAGGAGGAGGAGGAGGAGGAGGAGAAGAAGAAGGGATGGAGGGAGGGCGAGAGAGATGGAGAACGTGGGGGGTGCAGGGGGAGGCGAGAGGGCGGGAGGACGTGGAGCACGACGACGAAAGGAAGAGGAGGTTGCCGACTATGGATCGATTGCCCTATAAACCAGATCGATGGATCGAATCGCAAAGCCAATGGATTGCCCGAACAACCAGATCGATGGCTCCCCCCGAACGAAACAAATCGATCGCCCCGAAAGCCCGATTGACGACCGATGACTCGCCGACTCTCGGCAGTCGATGACTGGCGGAATCACGGACGTACGGGAAAGGTGGAGCAGCAATCAGCAGCAGGAGGATGACAGGGAAGAGGATAACGAGGAGCAGAGAAGGGGGAAAAGAAGGAGGACGTAGAAGAGGGGGGCAGAAGGATATACATACATATCTAGATGTCTGCATATGTATATATATAGAGAGAGAGAGAGAGAGAGAGAGAGACAACGCAAAACAGTGTGATAATGATGCTGATGATGAGGAGGATGAACAATGCGCTCGGCGATCGATGCAGTGACGAGCGATCGGCGATGAGGGGGGGTCGGCGTCGACGGTCGACGGACCTACGACCGATCGGCCATCGACGACGACCAACGACTCAGCGATCGACGACGACCGACGACGAGGGGGACGTGGTCGACGGCCGGAGGAGCGGAGATCGATCGGCCATCGCCGACTGGACGGCCGAGCCCCGATCGGCGTAGCGTTAAGTCGTGTCCCCCTACAGGGGGATTTTCGACGAACAATGAGAAAAACAACTCAAGAAATACTCAAAAGATGCCCCAAAATACTCAAAAAATAGTCCCCAGACTGTTTCTTGACTATCTTTGAATACACCCCCTGTAAAAGGGACAGGCCCGACTTCAGCGTAGCGGTGCCTTCTGGGCCGCCCGCGCTGCCAGGCGGAACGGGCTCTGACGCTCCCGCTGCATGAAGTCGTAGCCCCAGACGGTCTTCAGGCTCCGGCACAGGCACGACCCTGGCCGACGGACGGGGGGCGGCACGGGACCAGGACTGGCTCCATCGCGGCGGGTGCGCCCCAAGGGAGGGGTCCCGGGACACGGCTGGACCACGACCGCGTCGTGCTGCGCCCCCGCTTCGTCCCCTCGTGTGCCCTCGGTGCTGTCTTCGCTCCGCCCCCGCTGCAGCACGAAGCCAGCACGAGAGCAGCCCACGACATCGCCTACAGCACCGTGTGGCTCGAGCCCTGGGCCGGGAAGGGGGAGCGGGGCGCGCACCATGGCCGTGGGCACGTGCGCGGACGAGGAACGGCCCTCTCTGGAACGCCCCACGTGCGCTCAGCAGACGGCTGGCGCTGCACAGGCAGCGTGCGGCATCGAGCTCCGGAAGCCCCAGACCCCGCGCGTCGTGGGCAACGAAAAGCACGGCGGAATTCTGCTGCTTGCGGCGTTCCCCCTCTGAGGGCCTCAGCCGGGCCCCATCAGGACGGTCAATCAAAAGACTCGCGATGAAAAAACCGGTCCCACGTGGGGGGATGCCGAGGGCAGGGAAGCACGCTATCCTGTGAGGCGGTCCCCCCCGGGTGGGCCCCTTCTATGCACGCCATCCCTCTACCAGGGTTTCCTCGGTGCACGCGATCCCCAAGTCGGGGCATAGCGTGTAATAAGCAGGGCAACGGCGCCACATCGCACGCTATCGTTGCAATCAGAATGGCTGCGTCTTCTGAGGCCTCTGCCGGCTTTGCCGATGTGGTCGCTGTTGGTGCTCCCATTGCTCATCGCGTGGTTGGTGCTGTCAGATCTGGGGCCGACGTTGGGGCAATCTTGCTCACATGGCTCGTGCCCCCCAGCGACGATGGTGCCCTCGCAGTGCACACTGGACAGGCCCAGAGCCACCCGGAAGACCAACCTGCACGTGGGCTCGCTCAACCGCTTCCCGACCGCTCCGCACGACACCAGCGGCAACGAGGAGGCCGGACGGGCACACGCAAGAGTGACTCTGGGCAAGAGCGACCTCTCTGGTGCGCGGCTTCTCGGGGGCCGCGGGGCGACCAGACCTGGGCGCGCACGCCCCTTGCTGCCGCTTCGCTTTCGGCCATCGGAGGGCCCGTCTGTGCCCGCACCAAAGGCCACTCCGGCGGAAGGCCACTCTTATACGCCTAACCGAGACAGGCACACCACAGCGGCACACCACAGCGACGGCGTCACACCGGCTCGCCCGCAGCGACGGAAGACCCGTGGCGGCCGAGGCAGCGGCGGGCGGCACCGTGGCGAGGTGCGCCTGCGGGGCACGGCGCCGGCGCCGCGCACACACGCCAGAGCGATACGCCACCGCCGTCGTGCACTGCGACCTGGGCCACCCCCAA